GTCCCCTCTCCTCAACAGACCCCTCCATTTTCCCCCTCCTCTCTCCCAGCCCCTTGGATTCAGAGGACCTCATGCACTCAGGCTTTATCTCCCCTAACACATACCAGCCCCATTCTCCCTGCTGCCACTGTCCCCACATCACCCAAGTTGGGCCTGGGGGTGGGAGTGGCAGGGGCAAAATCCCACAAGGGTCCTCTCCCCCTCCCCGGGAGCCCTGGCTCCAAGGAAAAGGCTCAAACATTCCTCTTTCACTTCCCACCACCACATAGTAGAAGGGGTGAATCTGCAGAGAAGCAAGACGAACCAAACTAGAGGTAACAGAGGGAAGCCAAAGTGACATGTTCAGGAGAGAACAGTGTAGAAGGACCAAGAGAGGCCCCCAGTCTGCTGACAAGAAACTCAGAGGCAGTGAGACGCCCCCGTCCCCATGAACCTTGGGCCACCCACTCAGACTGCCACCCTATCCACCAGGCCGACTAAGGGCACCAGATTGACTCCTTGCTCGGGGTGGGCAGCAGAGTCAAGGCTATAGAGGGGAGCCCAGCCCACCATCCCCAACAGCAGATCTTGGCTGTGCTGGGCAGGCAAGTCCAGGGTAAAAATAGAGCCAGAGGAAGCCAGGCCGCGCCCTGTGACCACCCCTACCTGCCTGCCCCACCCTCCTCAGTGTGCAGGCAGCCAGGAGCAACTGCAAAGTCCACTGCAGGCCTCTAGAGCCAGCCCAGCTCCAGCTGTTCTACCTCCATGCCCAAAGCCCTGATGCCCTCTGGCTGGGGTGTGGACTGAAGGGCACAGAGAATGAGGCTAGACTTAGGTCTGATCAGTTGTGGTGGGGCTCCGATCTCATGGCTCTTTGAGCTGTGGGCCCCTACCCCAACCCCAGCTACCCCAGGCACGGTCCCCAGCTCACTTCCATGGTGGGACGTGGGTAGGTGAGCTACAAGATGGGCTCTGAGCTGGAGACGGCAATGGAGACTCTCATCAATGTGTTCCACGCCCACTCGGGCAAGGAGGGGGACAAGTACAAGCTGAGCAAGAAGGAGCTGAAAGAGCTGCTGCAGACGGAGCTCTCCGGCTTCCTGGACGTGAGCACAGGGTGGGGGTACAGGGTGGAGTGGGCGAGGGGTGGGGGAACAGAGTGGGCACCTCCCTGCTACCTCCCCACCCCACCCCAGCTCAGCCCAACCATCTCCTTCCTCTCCCAGGCTCCCCTACTCTTCTGGGTTCAAGTCAAAATGCCCTGATTTACTGATCACCTGTTAAGGGCTAGGCCCTGTGTAGATGCATCAATAACAAAACACACAGTCTAGCAGGGAAGGACTGACACTTGAAAGTAAACCTTGAACACCAGGAAGAACCCGGGGTCTTAACAGAGGTGCCAGAAAGGATTATGCGAGAATATTAACCTGACTGAAGTGGACGGCTTCTCCAAAGAGGTGGCACTCAGGCCCCTGGAAGATCATCAGGGTAAACGTAGACATTTTAGGAGGAGGTATAGTATCTGAACAAGAGCGCGTGAGAAAGCAGATGGAGCGTGCTCGGTAGTTTTGACTGGACTGAAGGATGCAAAAGAGAAGCCAGCAGAAAGTGTACCAGCTTTGAGATTTTATGAGACCTGGGATCAAATTCTGGCGCTGCCACTTAATAGCTGTGTGACTTTGGGCATGTTCCTTAACTGCCGGCTGTCAATTTGTTTCTTCTCTAGAATGGGACTAATGAAAGCTACTTCATACTATTTGTGCTAGAATTAAATGAGACAGTGCTTGTAAAGCTCTGTAGTGCAGTGCTTCTCACATTGTAGGCACTCAACGTATGGTAATTGTTTTTATTATTCTGCCTTGTTAAGGAGCTGATTCCGTAGGCAACAGGAAGTATTTTGTTAGTTTTGAGGAGGGCAGCAAGAGTCCCATAATTAGAAGTAGTTCTCCCTCTTGCTCATCTCTGCCTCCTTCTCCCCAATCAACCAGCCCCCATGTCCCTGACTCAGTGCTGTTCATTTCCCTATACACCTACCTCTCCGTCTCCTCCCTCCACAGGCCCAGAAGGATGCGGATGCTGTGGACAAGGTGATGAAGGAGTTAGATGAGAATGGAGATGGAGAGGTGGACTTCCAGGAGTATGTGGTGCTGGTGGCTGCCCTCACAGTGGCCTGTAACAACTTCTTCTGGGAGAATAGTTGAGCAGATGGCCCCAGTGGGCAGCGCCCTTCACCTCCATCCTGCCATACCTGCCCCTTCACCCTGCTTCCCCCTCACCCCACTTTTCCCTCCCCACCAACAAGGGCGCAAGAGTAGTGGGCCAGGCGTGCAACTCATCTTTCATTAAAGGCTCCTCTCTCACAAGCCGCCAGCTGCTGTCTGTTTCCTTTGGGGTATGGAAGTGGGTGGGGAAGTGAAGGCTGCTCACTCCGAACTTGCCTTATTTGGGGAGGGATCTTATTTTGAGAGAGGTCAAGGGGCCATTACATCTTCGTACTTAAGGAATGCTCAAGGCCCAGGAAGGTTGGGGTTCAATGTCTCAGCTGGAAGTGGAGGAGACATCAGCTTCTCAGATATAAAGCCAGAAGAATTTCCCTTCAACCTTCAAAGAATATTTACTGAAGACCTACCATGTGCTAGACGTCCTGTGGGAACTGGGGACACAGCAGTGAGCAAAACAAACACGACCCTCAACATCACATAGGTAAAGTCCAGTAAGGATGCCAAAACATACACACGTACATGCTAGGAAGGAAAATGAAAGGATCTGATGCACGTGATTGGGGTGAGGGGTGTTGAAGACGTGTTCGTACACTCATTCTTCAAACATGCGAGCTTTTTATTGTGTGTCCAGCCATAATGAAAATCCCGCATAGGTCTACATCAAAATCCACATGAATGGCAGATGGCGAGAGAGGACACGGAGGGGGAGCAGGGACGCAAAGATCCCCCACAAATAACTATTTAACAATGTTCAGGCCAAGTTGGGGAGGGAAGTGAAGAGGAAAATATGGACGGGTGGTGGTGAGTGGTGCAGGATCTAGCAGAGGTGAGCTCCCAGCACTGGCCCCCAGGCCTTGGCTGGGGCATTTGCAGCAATCTGCAACTCTGACCGGGGCCAAGGCAAATGATGAGGGGAGAGCCAGTGCAAATTACCTGGGCCCAGTGGTCCACAAGAGAGACCGAGGAGGGACTTCCCTGGTGGCGCAGTGGTTAAGAATCCACCTGCCAATGCAGGGGACGTGGGTTCCATCCCTGGTCTGGGAAGATCCCACATGCTGCAGAGCAACTAAGCCTGTGTGCCACAACCATTGAGCCTGCGTGCCACAACTACTGAAGCCCGCGTGCCTAGAGCCCGTGCTCTGAAACGAAAAGCCACTGCAGTGAGAAGCCCGCACACCGCAAGGAAGATTAGCCTCCATTCGACACAGCTGGAGAAAGCCCATGCACAGCAACAAAGACCCAACGCAGCCAAAAATAAATAATAAAATTAATTAATTTTTTAAAAACAAAGGGGGAGAGAGAGACCGAGGAACATCCGCATAAAGAATTGTAGTCCGTCTGCCTTAGCTCGAGGGGCAGAGGGATGTGCCAGGAAATATGAACATCTTTTTCAGGGGGACCGAATCAGCCCCAGCGACCCAAATTACTAACCTGCAGCCCCCTTAAAACCCAGGAGCAGGGACTTCCCTGGTGGTCCAGTAGCTAAGACCCCGTACTCTCAATGCAAGGGGACCAGGTTCAATCCCTGGTCAGGGAACTAGATCCCACATGCTGCAACTAAGAGTTCACATGCCACAACTAAAGATCCCGCATGCTTCAACTAAGACCCAATGCTGCCAAATAAATACGTATTTTTTAAAAGCTTTAAAAAATAATCCATTTTCCAAAAGTAAACAGAGCTAAGCCACTTGGCCACGCCCCTTCCTAGGCGGGGGGGGGGGGCTGTGTTTAATACAGACCAGGCCTTTGCTAAAGCCCCGCCTTCTCCCTAGGGCTCCGCCCCAATCCCGCGCAGGCGTGGCACAAATTTTTCCGCCCCTTAGTGGTGCGGCGGATCTGACGCCTAACGTAACTGCGTCGACGCCATTTTAGCCGGTCCCTCTCCGCAGTGGGTGTGGCGGCCATTTTGTTTTCGACACCGAGCGGGAGTTGACGGCATCCGCTGTGGTGAAAGGCAGGAAAGGGCAGGCCGGTTAGCAGGCGGACGCGCCAGCCGGACAGCCAGCCAACAGCAAAGAACTAACCTAGCAATCTACCGCTTAACACATCTAACTAACCGCCCACCAAGTTAACCCGAGCCCCTCCACCGTCAACTCAGGTTCGGCCGGCCTCCGGCCCGCCTGCCGCAGCCGTGGTGGCAGCCCCGGGAGGAGCACTGGCGTCCGTTTCCTTCGGTACGTGTCTGTGGTGAGGAGGGCAAGAGTCCTGGGGAACGGAGGGGACCGGCGGACGCGGAACGTGAGCTGGCGGGATGTGGAGGCAGACAGGGTGTCCGAGATGGAGGCCCCGGAGGGGGCGGAGCCCCTGAGAGGGAGGCGGGGGAGACCCCGAACTGGAAACTCGCCGCGGGATTGATGGAAAAAGTGGGGATTTGATAGAGTTGAAAAAGAATGTTGTTTGGTGGGTTGAGCAATGTTGGCGGTCCTGACAGGGCTTTGAGAGGGAAGGGCAATCAAAGGAGGACTACACGACCTTAGGGAACGTTGGAAGGTAATGGCGGCTTCAGGGTTAAATTTTGTGGAGCGCTCCCGAGAGCGAACTCCCAGGTGAATGCCCATTTAGGGAAACCTTGCCTACTCCCTCCCTCCCCCAGCTCCGCAGGCCCTTGCTAAGGCTCCTACTTGATTTTGAAACAGGTATGCTTGTGTCCTCTCTTTAGATCAGTGGTTCTCAGTTGTGGCTGCACAAGAGAAGCACCGAGGTAGACTTCCCCCCTCCCCTTCGAGCTAGACTTTTTTTTTTTCCCCCTTCTAATTGCTGATCCCCAGACCTCACCATCAGAGACTGTGTTTTAAATAGTTTGGGCCCAGGCTTCTGTGTTTTGCTGTTTTAAAAAAAAAAAAAAAAAAAAAAGCTTCTTGCAGCCAAGGTTGAGAAGGATCGCTCTAGATGAAAAGCCAAACTCTTAACACTTCTTTGGCTAGGTCTAAGTCTGCCATTTTGGAGGCTTGGGCAGATATTTTCTGTCCTGTCGCCTTGGAGTTTATTAGTTTGAGGTAACTAGCTTCTTAAGTTTAAGCACCTGAAATGAGTTTTGGTGTGATCGTCAATAGTCACTGATATAGGCCTTTTCATTCAGTTTTGGTTTGGGCCTTTGGCACTTGTTGAAATGAGGTGGTCATCATTCTCATTTGCTCATTCTGTCCATTGTCCTTTGTAGATTCTCGGGATTTGAAGATGGCTGCACAGTCAGCGCCGAAAGTTGTGCTAAAAAGCACCACCAAGATGTCTCTAAATGAGCGGTGAGGCAGCCAACAGCAACTTCAGCTCGTTCATAAGAAAACATTACTTAAATTGGCCCTGGGGTCCAATGCACAAAAACCGGTTTTAAACTAAATACCAACAGAAGGCTACAGACCTCTGTTCTTAGTTGCATCACATGTGGTACACAAAACAAATTGGGCGGTTGTTTCAAAACCCCTTATCAGTAGATTTTTATGTTATGCTGTCTGAAATATTTATCTGGTGGGATGTATTTTAAAAAGACTCCTCACACCCTCCCTTTTCTTCACTTTTTTTTTTTTTTTTTACATTGTTACAGGGGTGGTGCAGCTCGGTAGCATGGTACCCTAGCTGCAGTAGGCTTGCTGCCCAGTCCAAGGCCAGCAATGTTGTGTCTGGCCTGTAAGAGGCGGGTAGCAAGCTATGAATATGTCCAAAGGCCCTTGAATGTCATTCTTGGGCCTTGTAAGAGGCACTCGCTTTGCTCCATTTCACTTTCTTTCCATTCTGCTTTTAGTTTGTTTTCGTTTTCAATTCTTTTACAATTGAATGTTCTTCTCTTTCATTCCATTAAACTTACCTTGACAGGAATAATAGAAGAGTGTCTTCACAAGCTCTTAAATGATTAAACTAATCTTAACTTTTTCAGAAGTAATCACTTAGAGTCAGAAAAAGTAATCATTTGACACTAAGAAAAGTTAAGGCACTTAAAGGCACTTTCTGTCTCTGAGAGCTTTGTTCATGAGTGCCTTCGACCAGTGACTTTATTAAGTTGATGTTAGACCACTAAAAGATTTACTTATGTTTGTTTGCCTTTTCTGAAGCATATGTACTTCTCTTTATCCCTTAGTGATACACTAATTCTCCATATTCACGTTACTACGTGAACAAATACATGAGAGAATGTGATATGCTCCTATAATTTATGTGGGTGTATCATTTCCATGGGCTTTGAAGGTGCTCTAGTCCTTCCTTATATTTGCCCTTAAAATGCACCCTCAGGTCCCCAAAGGTTTTGGCTTGCTTTGTCTGTCTTTGAACTACATCTTGTGTCTCTTGTCATCACATCTACTCATTGCATGCTTTTCATACTTTCTACCTCTCTAAAAGCCGTTACCTGAGCCCTTGTTATCACTTTTGATTGAATGTGCTACACTTAGCTGCATTTCTAAGTTTCTGATTCTTGCAAGTTTGTGGAAGCAGAGGAGTCTTTAACCCACATCAGCCTTGATCTAAGTGTACCACTTTACTTAAAGTTCGTGGGATCTGGAGCTCCTGGTCTAGCAAGCCATGAAAATGCCAATAAATGTTTTGTAATAAAGCGTTTATTTAAACATCCATTTTGTTCGACCTTGAAGCTTTACTAATATGCTGAAGAACAAACAGCCGATGCCAGTGAATATTCGGGCTTCGATGCAGCAACAACAGCAGCTAGCCAGTGCCAGAAACAGAAGACTGGCCCAGCAGATGGAGAATAGACCCTCTGTCCAGGCAGCATTAAAACTTAAGCAGGTGAGAGAATGGGTCTTAATGTGCCAGAAGCAGCTGGTGATCCTTGTCAGGTAGTCCACTCCACTGAGGCTGTCAGGACGCCATGGATAATTACGAGGTGGCTCAGGGCAAAAGCTGAACTTCTCTGGAGGAAAGAGAAAGTTCAGAGAATTCCCATTTTGGCAGGTACCAATAAGTAACTTTTTGTTGTCTTTCTCTTTTAGGGAGTTTGCCATCAAGGTGGCCTGTTTCTGTGTTATCAATGAGTATTAATCTCTTTTGTTCTCTGATCCTTTGCCCTTAAAATAGATTCACTGGCTTTTTCCACAGAGAAGTTTTGGTTTCTGTTTTAGATGATCTTCAAAAAATCCTTTATTTCTCACTAAATGGTTTACAAATTAGGGAAATGATTTTATTCTTTCTTCCCTAATACAGGGAGTCTGAAAGGCCTCTTAGTCAAACGTTTTCAGTGCTAAACAGTAGAAAGAGTGGGGTGACCCTCATCTCCACAGCACCTAAAGTTTTGTCAGTAAAGTAGAGCGAGAACACTGAGTAATTAATTTAAGAGTTAGCGGGTTCTCTTTCAAATTTCCAGTAAGAGATAATCCTATTCAGATCTGAAATAAAACCTGCTCTTTATTATTCATAGACTTTATATGCAAGTCCGGACAGTGGCTGTGGAAGGATATGTCCAAGCTGTGGCTGGGCGTCTGGAGGGCGGTGCCATGCAACTGTAAGGACTTTAACTGGTAGCACTGCATGGCTGTGCATAAAATCAGCAGTTAAATATAACACCCTTCCACCCCCACCCTGAACCATTGGGCTCACTGACCAAAAATAAACAAGGCCTTCTGCTTCAGCTACCTTAAGCCTTGGAGTGGCTGCATTCATCCCAGACTCAGGAAAGCAGTAAAAGATGCCACTGTTTTCTAAGAGGAAATACTAAAAATTGTTGAAGACAGGTCTCTGACATATTATTCCAAAGGACCTTTTAACAAGGAGCTTGGAACAGAGGCTGTGCCGAAGAAAGTAGCCTCTAGAGCACTGCTGTCCAATAGAACTTTCCACGGTGTTGGAAATGTTCTATATCTGTGCTCTCCAATACAGTAGCCATTAGCCACATTGATTATTGAGTGCTCAAAATGTGGCTAGTGCCATTGAGGAGCTTAAATTTTTATTTTTATTTATATTTTTACTTGCAATTTAAATTAGCCACACGTGGCTAGTGGTTACCTTAGCATATAGCACAGCTCTAGAGTGGAAACTGAATGATACAGTTGACATCCTTCAGCTTCTTTTCAGTGTTAGAGACTAGTATTGGTGGCAAGTAAGGGATGGGAAGGGAGAAGAACTTCTAAGTACTATGCATTCTCCCCTTAAAGCACAGATCTTGGGAGAGTGTACTAGGGATGACTAAACACAAGAGACCTGTAGAAAGAAGTCCTGACCTCATGTTGTTCAGAGCCTGCCCCTCTGATTAGAAGCAGTTTATGATCTCATGCTAGAAAGCTAATAATTATAACTCGCAGCATATGGTTGCAGACAAAGTCGTTTGTAGTTGTTTGTGGGTGAAGCCTGAGGACGCATAATTTACTTTCATTCATACTGACTGACGGCGTTATAGGAGAACAGGTTTGCTAGGGCTTTGGTGGTGTTCAAGGCTACACAGTCACCCTTTCCTCTGAAGGAATTCAATTGTCTGAGATGTGGTCTTTGTAGTTTCCCTTTGAGGGACAGATTATTGAAAAATTTCTATCTATGGTATGTCCTTGTTCTCAAATGTGGCCCTGAGTTTTATGATTATAGCTAAACTGTCTTAATTCTAATGCAGGTTTGGCTAGCTTTCTGTGGAGATACATTTGAGTTATGTGTTTATTTTGAATTAAAAGTCACTATACTGACCTAATTAATGGAGCTGTTTGCAAAGGTAGACTTGGAATTACGGCTATTTAAGATATGTAAGGAAAGGAGATTTGACTTTTTTGTGTTTATTTACATCTTAAGGTAAAAAGTGGACCGTCTGGAGATAGATACTCAGAGGAAAAATGGAACACACTGGCCTCTTTGACTGAGAAATCAAACTTGTTCTTAAGTCACAAGAATTCAAATGAAATTGTAATTTAAACTTTGCCCAGAGTGTGATGAACTTCCTATGGTGTTTGAGTAAGCCTTTGAAGACAGTGGTAGTCCTTGGGCAGGTATGAATCCAGTCCTGTCATTGTCAACTGGTGGTTCAAAAGCAGCAGAATCCAGGATTTGAAATACAGTGTTCTTATTAAAACTTACGTTCCAAGTAGTGGTATATGACTTCTGTAGCCAAACTAGTGAGGTAGTTTGTGGTGATACCAGTTTCATGGGACCATACTCAAGGTTCTTAGAAGCTCTGGGTCAGAATTCTGCTTGTTTTCTACCAAGTTTTGAGGCAAAGGCTTGCTTCTGGTTTGGGATCCTTATGACACCCCGTGCAGGTTTATCTCCCGCCACACAGACATCTCACTTGCTTCTTTTTCTCTGCACTTTGAGTTGCTAAATCCCATTGGATTGCTTTTTTGATCTCAATTCCCTAACACCTTTTCTTCCAGAAGAGCTTAAAGCAGCGCCTGGGTAAGAGTAACATCCAGGCACGGTTAGGCCGACCAATAGGGGCCCTGGCCAGGGGAGCAATCGGAGGACGAGGCCTGCCCATTATCCAGAGAGGCTTGCCCAGAGGAGGACTTCGTGGGGGACGTGCCACAAGAACCCTACTTAGGGGCGGGATGTCGCTCCGAGGTCAGTGCTCTGTACCTGATAATTGTCGGGCCCCACCCCCTTCCCTTTTCTCTTGGGCTGCTTAGGGACACATTTGTTTAACATCTTTAAGCCTGAATTTGTATTAATATAATTAATAACTTTTGAAATGACGTATTTTTAATAGTGCTGCATGTCTTTTATCGATACCATTCCTTTTCTGATAATGTGCAATGGTGAGAGGCTAGGACCTGCGTTACAACAGGTAATTCATATCATCTCCATTCCATTTTAAAACACCCTGCTGCTGCTTGAATCAAAGCACATTCAAGTTCTAGAAATAAGTCAAATCTAAGAGGCCTGTTGGCCTGTATCTTAATTAATCATCTCTGTTCCTGGTTTTAGTGAAATACTTTATTACATCTGGAAAAAAGAGGACAAGTTGACCAATAGCACTTAGCTATATGTTACATTTTAGGCACTGTTATACTGTTCTCTGTATAGTTCTTGTCCCCTACAAAAATGTATTGAGAGCAGGAACCATATCATTTATTTTTAAATCTGCCATAATGCTAGGCACCTACCTGTGATTATTCAATAGATATTCATTAAATGTATGTACTTAACTAATTGACTTAACTCCCAGCTTCTTCCAAAAGTGGATTTGTGGTCAGACTTGTTGAATTGATTGAATAAAGAGCAGCTTAATCTTTTCACACTCAGTGTGCAGCTTGCCCCACCCAACCTAAAAATTAACTGAATTAACTCTCATTTAACCCTCACCGCCTTCCTTTGGTTAGAATCTACTTTGTCTCTCTTGGATTTACCTGCATATACATTGTATGCCTCCTCTCCAAGGTCAAAACCTGCTCCGAGGTGGACGAGCCGTAGCTCCCCGAATGGGCTTAAGAAGAGGTGGTGTTCGAGGTCGTGGAGGTCCTGGGAGAGGGGGCCTAGGGCGTGGAGCTATGGGTCGTGGCGGAATCGGTGGTAGAGGTTAGTCAGCTACCAACTTCAGAGACTAGCTTCCCCTTATTTCTCTCCCTTCAAAACTCAGAGCCACCTTTCTGCACAGCTTCAAGTCATAGGCAGGCTTATTTGTTTGTCTTGTTTGTTTTATGAAACTGGCTTATTTTCTAAATTCACATGCTGGTAATGTGGAGGTCTGTCATGGGTTTTCCAAGAACAGTCAGGTATGTGTTACAGAGCCAGATTATATTCAGACTTCTTTCAGGCTCTTGCAAATTTAAATTGTATTGTTAAAAATGACAGAATGGTCAGTTTGGCGTTTTATCTTTTTCTGTCCCTGACCCACCACCACACACCCCACCCCATAGCTCAAAACCCACTTTGAGTCTAAGAAGAGAGAAGAGGAAGATGTACAAAAATGAAGCAGAATTAAAGAGGATGGTGAGACTTGGAGCTAGGCCTATATTGACTCTGAAACCAAGTAAATTCAAGATAAAGTTTGTGTCTATGCGAAACCAGAGATGACTTTTTTTGATCAAAGTAGAAAAAGCAAGATGGTATTGTGTCAGTTAACTAACTGACTCTTGTTGATAATCTTACCTTGAGACTTAGTGATATTTGTCCTGTGACCTCATGGCCCAGACTGGAAGAGAGTTTTTAATGGTGTTGCTGTTAATGCCAAATCTCATGGGAGTTTTCTGGCTTAGAGTTTAGTGGAAAACTCCCAGCAACACCTGTCCAGGAAAAATAATATATTCTTTTAGCCCCTGGGTATATTTGCTTTGGTCTTTTTAAAGTGTGTGGTGGGTCTTCCATAATTTATGACCTTGAAGTTGCCAGGGGATAATAACTATTGGGAAAAGAAATTTGATAACCGAGGGCTTGTTTTCTTCTCTCATATTATATGTTGCTTGGCTTATTGAGTGAAGTACAAGCTAGTTTGGGTTTCAGGATGAAATAGCATGTTTCCAAATTATCTTGACTTGGTTTCTGAGAGAGACATCACAGGGATTGGCCGGGGAGGAGTCTGAAGTAGCTTTTCAGAAAGCTGGGTATGTTTTGTTAAGTGAATTGAAACCACCTCTCAGATAACCATAATTGTTAAAATGTGAATAGAATCGGGAGATAGAAATGGCTGGGACTACTCAAAATGTTTTTCCCCAATTCCCTTCATTGTTCCTATGTCAGAATAACTCCTCAGTCTCCTGACATAGGATCAGTTCATTAGGTTTGATAAATTTGAGGAGACAAGCTAATTTTTCAGAAGGATCTCCAGTAAAGTTTAATTTGAAAACTGTCTAGCTTCACACCCCTGTTTCTCTGTGCCCTTGTTACTTCCTCCCTATCTTACTAAATGGGGTTATCTTTAATGTACTTGTATTTTAATTGTAAACTTATAGCGAGTCTCAAATTTTAGTTTCTCTGTCTTAGGAGAGATTAAGAAATTTTTAATTATCAGTTAACTATATTCCCTTACTTTGTTGATAGAAGAAAAAAATTTTAAATAGCATTTAGAGATGAGCATGTAATAAGGGATTCATTATGTGTGCTTTCCATGTGTTGCTTTCTACCCAGTGTGTTTCCTGTTTTTCCAGATTTCTCCTCTTGCCCTGCCCTTCAGCCTTTCTCAGCTAGGCCCCACTGCTCTAAGGGGCATTTACCATAGCACCAATTAAACTTACTTGTAACTGTTTTTCTTGTTTTTCCCTTGGGCCAGGTCGGGGTATGATAGGTCGGGGAAGAGGGGGCTTTGGAGGCAGAGGACGAGGCCGTGGACGAGGGAGAGGTGCCCTTGCTCGCCCTGTACTGACCAAGGAGCAGCTGGACAACCAACTGGATGCATACATGTCAAAAACGAAAGGACACCTGGATGCTGAGTTGGATGCCTACATGGCTCAGACAGATCCCGAAACCAATGATTGAAGCTTGCCCACCCTCCTGTGAGACTCTTGTTAAAGTCACACATCTGTAAATAACCTTGAGATAACAGATGAGAAGAAACTTGATTGATGCTGGAAGGACCTATCATAATAGGCTATGGACTGACTTGCCACCAGTTTGTGCATTTAGTGTGTTCCTTTTACTTTTTGATACTGTGTTGTATGAAACCCTTTTTTCCTCTGACTTGGGTTTTGTTTTGTTGTCATTTGGGGTATTTTTCCTTCGCCCAGACTTCTCTTTGAACATGAATGTGTTGGCCTTGTGGCTAGTCCACCCTCTTCCCCGCTCTGCCTTCCCTCACTTGTCATATGCTTTGGCATTCTGACATTTCCTCTGTTCATCTCCCATGAAAAATTCCCAGAAAGAGCCCATCAGTGTCCCTCCTTAATGTCTAGGTTTCTGAGATACAGTTCTGTTCTGCATCATCTTTAAAGAGCCTCTTAAAAGTGTTTAGAAAATCTGGAGCTCAAAAATGCATTCTGCCACGCTGATGTTTTAGTAAAGTAAATTAGGAACTTTGACATAGCTACAGGGCCACCTAACAAGTTACACACGGTAGCAGCTCTGATTTGATTAAAGTTATTGCCATGTACATTTACACCACTTAACCAGTGTACTGGGTCAGGTATGTGCACTTTCTACCCTGGAATGAGATTTATAAACTTTTCCTCTTGGCTTTGCATCATGCCCAAAGAGGGTATTTTTGGATTGGCTTACACCTGCAAAAGAGTGGGGAAAGCCGTTTGGTTTGGCAGATGCTTCAGAAGGGAAAGGGCTGGAAATTGATGGCAGATATCTTGTGGGAGGGGTCAGAAGATATCCATGCTGAAATGCTATTATGTTTATACCAGGCCAATCTTGGGCTTCATTCATTGACTTTGTTTGACCCTTATTCCCCTTGAAGCTTTAATTAAGTTCAACCATATTCTGTCAACTGTTCCAGTTTCAGTAGAATCTTTTGTTTCTGGTTCATTATAACAAATTGTTCTCTGAAATCCAGTCAGGACTTTCTCTTTATTTGTTGGGCTCTTTGAAATATTATGGCCACTATAACAGTATTTTGATATACCCCTTGTAGAGTTGAGAGTCCTTCATAGTTGTATTAAAATTTGGGGTGGGAGGGAGATGTGACTTTGGGGCAGAAAGTGAACAATTTGCCCTCTTTTGAATAATCCCCGAGGTAAGATTAACCACACAAAGTAATGTACCAACACATTTGGTCCATAGGAAGCGCAAACATAATGGTCTCAGGAGGCAGTTGAGGACCCCGGCCCTGGTTTCCCTTTTCCTCTGTGCTGTTTAAGGGAAAAGAAGCAGCTAACCACCTCTAATCAAACCAGTTGCCACTGAGCTACCTGGTACCCTAAACTGTTGGGAGGTTGTGTGTTATTGTAGACTGGGAAGGAAATTTTGGCCAGGACAACCTGAACTTTAATCCCATTTGTATGACCTGGGCTAAACCTCTGGATTGTGAAGCAAGTTTAGTTGTAGAAGGGAGAGCTTGAAAAGACCATGCGGTGTTAGGACAGAGCCATGCTGACATAACCAATCAGACCTAGTTTTGAAGTGTCTGTACTGTAACTACTGACTCTTAATAGAAGTGGGCTGTGAGACTGGAGGTCTTTAGCCCAGACAAGTATTTATAATCTTTAATTGGAAAGAGTTAAATAGGTATTTTTGTGTGGGCGAGGCGAAAGAGTGAAAAAGGTATTTTTGTGTGGGCGAGGCCGATTTTAAGGATAGTTCCTTAGATGCCAAACTCCAGTCAGCCCCCAAGGCTCTTCTGTGGGAGAGGTGCTGATTGGCAGTGGGCAGGCTACCCCTTGCGAACTTCATATCCACTGGTAGCCTTTTGTCATCTTCCAGGGCCTCCAGAACACCTTTGGGAGAAAGGGAGCTGCAGGGTAAGAGTTCTACCCCCCAACCACACAACTTGGGATGACCCATCTCTGGGATTTTTTCCCCAGCCCCATCCTTCCTAAATACTTTGACCCTCCTTCAAGGTAGCTAACAGTTATGTGCCCTCAGGATATTTTTAATCTCGTGGCTTTTGGTACCACTCTCCATAATCCACTGAGATCCTCTGTGTAAGAATAAGGAGTGAGAGGCACCGCTTTTGAAGCTTATGCAAGGGATGGGGTAACGAGCTGAGGTAGAGATGGGGAGGGGCCAGCAGTATGAGTCTGGGTCTCACAGTGCCCAATTGCAGTTCTATGGAGCCCACACAGGAGATCACCCCCGTATATTTTGGCAAGGTTCCAGGCTAAAAGCAAAGTGTTGAGGGAGTCAGGAAATGATAGGTGAGGGGTGTACTGGGTGGCAGCAAGTGTCTGAGGCCTCCCACCACCACCACCAGTCCATCTGCTGACATAATTCCCTTGTGAGGGAGAGATCCATTTCAGAACAGAGCTCCTGGATGCCTCAGCCCCTAGACTAAGGAAGAGAAGCTGGGGCCAGGATACTTCAAGAAAGGGGAACTTGCCGAGGTGCCAGGTGTGCCTAAGCTGCTCACTCTCCTAGGTCAACCTCTTCCAGCTCAGGATTGCCCTGCCCAGGGTGCTTCCAGTCCCACCTCGTCCTGCTGACTCAGTGCTCCTAGTGCCCACAGGTGTCTGTCCAAAAGGACCTGCCCCGTGTCCTCTACGCCCATCTCTTGTACTGGCCCAACTTGCAGGATAGTGAACTAAGACCAGGTTGGGGCTGCTGTTTCTAGCACCTGTGTGATCTTTACTACGAAAATGTCAAGCAGATCTAGTGGTCAGGGGACCCTGAAACATCCTGGGAGGGGGCCCGGGGGGGGAGTTACTTTGTGGGTCCCAGTGAAGATGGACAGTGAGGCAACCACTGGAGCTTAAGGCCCCTTCCCTTTCTGCCTCCTACCACTTGAAGAATTCCTCCCCAACAGTGGGCAAAGGAACTTCCCTACCAGTCATGGACCCTCCAGCTCCACTCACTGCTCACTGCAGTTCCCAGAGTCTCCTTGAGGCCTGTGCCCACTTCTGCCATCCTCGATCCTTCGTGAGTGTCCCAGGTAGAGCAGAGTGGGACAAAGTCAGCCTGGCTCCTGGGTCAGCCTTTCACTCATTCAGCCACCATATGCCAAGGGCTTGCCATACAGACAGGAACAAGGCATTGTTTGTTAGAAAGGCATTGGGAGTACAGAGAAGAGATTGATGAGCTAGAATATGAAAGTCAAGGAAAAGTTTAACAGAGAAGGAGGAAGAATATTCGAAGGAGAGGGAACAAATACAAAGGTGCAGGGAAAGTGTGTTCAGTGGTCCTTCAAAGTAGAGTGGGAGACACAACTGATCAGATTGGGTATCCTGGAGCCTGTCTGCTAAAGACCTTGGGCTTTATGCTCTGGGTAGTGGGGAGTCATTGAGGACTTTAAGTAGGAGAGTGCCATAGAATGATTTATACAGAATGGTGGTAGGAAGTGAAAATGGGCTAGAGGGAGGACCATGGAGACTGGGAAACTGTTAGGTTAGTCTAAAACAAAACAGAGTTGGCCTGAACCTGGGCAGGCCACACCCTCAGCAGTTTCCTAGCTATCTGACGTCTGGGATGCCTGTCAGCACAAGAGACAGGAGTCAGGGGTGGCCTGAGCAACCACAGTGGAGAAAGCACATGTCATATGCCTCTCCCTGGCCTGCTGTTGTTTGTCTCCCTAGTGTCCCCGTGTGTGGTGACCCCATGATGCCTGATCTGCCACCCAACCCAGCCTCCACCACAGCTACCCACTCCCTATGACCTCATACCCTGGAAAAGAGCTAAGCTTCCAGGCAAGAGGGGCTGGCAGAGGACAGGCCTCCAGCCCCTTTAAGTCCAAATGGCAGCACTTTCCTCCCCTCCTCCAGGCCCCCTGCAGCCTTGTCAGGTAGTTTCAGCTAATACCCACCCACCAGCAGTGAACAGCACCCAGACCAGCACTGTAAATGGGGCAGGCCTAGGGGTTGGCTCCTAGAAGGGAGGCAAGGGGCCCAGAGAGGCTGGGACCTGGGAGGAGACCTGGCCTGGCCTCTGTGTCCCCTCTCCTCTTCCCGTGGGCTGTCCCGTCCATCCCACTGCAATCCCAGCCCCCCCCACTACCTCTCGCGCTGATTCTGCAGGCCGTGTTGTTACCGAAAGCTCGGCCTCTCTGTACACCGGTGCCAAATCCAATCTCAGAGACAGAGTTTTGGGTGAAATAAAAAAGCTTTACTACTTTGCCAGGAAAAGGGGACACACTGGACTTCTGCCTCAAAAAACTATATGTCCCAACCCGGGAGGATTTGATGAGGGTCTTATATGGTTCGGCGGTGGAGGGCGGGGTGGGGGGGGCTCTCTGCCAAGATTAGGGTGTGAGCAGGACTGGCACTCCCTTAATCTCCTCTCAGGTGTTTGGTCTTCTAATCTTGATGAGCTTCTCTGGTCCCTTTAATCTTGCCTCAGGTGGTTTCTTGGCAGCCCCTCCCTTGAGTAGCAACTGTTCGAATCTGGAACTCAGGGAAGGTCATGGAGGCTGAAGTCTTGCCTACAAGAAATGGGGGACAAAAGGGCCTCCATGGCTGGGAGCCCCACAGGGCCCCATTCGGTTTCAATGTGAGAAGGGCAAGGGTGCCCAAGCCTCCAGTTCCCTGGGTTCCAGGCACCTTTAAGGACTCACGTCCAGCTCTCTCCCTCCCCACAAACACACATATAGACACAGTTGTCACAGTGGAGGCATGAGAAATGGAATATTTCCTGCCATATCAGTAAACAAAGGATGTCACAGTCATCAGCTTGCAGCCCTCCAACGTGAGCTGGTGAGCCCTGAGGAAACTCAGGGCTGAAAAGAATACCTGCCATCTAGCAGCCATCAGACTGCAGCCACTCCCTACAGTGAGCACGGAGGAAACTCAGGATGTGAAAATACAGGATACAGGCCCCAGATAGCTGAGGTGCATATCAAAGGAATGATTTCAGTGAGCCCAGGACTCTTGCATCTTCCCATACATAGAAAAGCACTAAAATCCTTAACTTGGGTTATCTGGTTTTCTTTAACCATAATCTTTTGATGTTCCCGGCTACCTGCCCTTTGTTGCAAAATATCTGTATAACCTGGCTCCCCTTCGCCTCCGCTGAGCAGTTCTCTCAGGGTTACTTGAGATGCTGCCTCTCAGGCTTGAAGTCCTAAAAATTCCCGCTGAATAAAACATAACTTT